GATGTGTCAAATGTGATAATGGTTACCAATGGTGGACAGTAGTTGGTGGACCTCCCTGATTAAAACAAGCTTAGAAGCAGGAGAATGGCATCCACTTCTGAAATAGCTTGTCTCTGGAAACGCTATGAACTTGGAGAAACGATGAAAGTTATACAAGTGTTCAGGTCTTTCATTCATAGGGTCGCTATGAGCCGTCTATGACTAGATGGCACTTAACAACAACAACAACTGAATATAATAGATTTCTTGATCTGCAAAGCAAAAACTTTTAGCACCATTTGGCACAGGGCTTACTGGTGGAGTGAGAAGCCAGTGAGACTCCCAGAGCTAGACTGAATCATGTGATCAAATTTTGTACTTACAATGAAATATAACATTTGTAAATCAAGAAAACAAGTGTTCCCACCAATATTCCAATAGGCAACATTATGATGGAGAAAAGATTGAAATGGCCAATTATTTCATCTTACTTGGATCAATAGTCAACACCCATGGTACCAGAAGCTGTGAGTTCAGGAGACATATTGTACTGGGCAAGTCACTGTCATGGACCTTTGCCAATTAATGAAAATCACTTTGAAGAGTGAGGTAACCCTGATTGAGGCCTTTGTGTTTTAAATCACGTGCCATGTGCTGAGAGCTGGACAATGAATAAAGATGACAGAAGAAGAATTAATACCTTGGAGCTGTGGTGTTGGAGAAGAATATTAAGTGTCTCATGACCTACCAAAAGAACAAACAGATATGTCTTGGGAAAAGTGCAGCCAGACTGTTCCAAAGATGGCAAAGCTTCATCTCTCATACTTCAGGCTTGTTGTTAGGAAAGGCTATTCCTTAGAAAGGGATATCATGATTGGAAAGATGGAGAGTCAGCAAAAGCGAGAAAGACCCTCAACATAATAGACTGACACAGTGACTGCAGCAATAGGTTTGAGTGTGTCAGAAATTGTGAGGATCGCACCGGATAGGACAGGGTTCAATTCTCTTATTCATAGGGTCACTATGAGTCATCTATGACTCGACAGCACTTAACAAATCCTTGTCTAGCTCTCTGATGCATAGCTAGCAACTGCAAAGGCTGTGGCCTGCATCAAGTACACCATAGTCTCCAGACTGATGTTGTTGCTCTTCAGTACTGACAGCTGACTTTCCCAAAGCAATTCATCTCTTGATTTCCTGGCTGCTGGTATCAGGAGTGTAGATTGTGGAGCCAAGCAAACTAAAGCTGTTAACAATCTCAATCTCTTCATCATTCTTCATGATGCTGCCAATTTGTCCAGTGATGAGAATCTTTGTTTTCTTGATGTTGAGCTTCAATCTGTATTGAAGGCTGCTGTCCTTGAACTTCTGCAATAAGTGATTCAGGTTGTCCTCAGTTTCAGCAAGGGTTGTGTCATCTGTGTAATACATTTTAACCAAAAGCGAAGCTACCAAGCCACAGGTAGGTGACTCTAATCCACGGCCCTAAGGCCTGTCTTTGTTATTGGTGAAACAATCTTCTAGGTTGTATAGCCCTGGTGTGTCCACTTGCTGAACAGAGGTAACTTGTGGTCGCTGTGAAGCTGAACACTGTGACACTGATGTGACAAATGTGATAAATGGTTACCCATGTCAGACAGTGTTTGGTGGTGCTCCCCTGCTAAAACAAGATTGGAAGCAGGAGTGGCATCCACTTCCATTAATAGCTTGCCTTAGGAAACCCTAAGAACATGGAGAAAGGATGAAAGTTATGCAACTGTCAAGGACTTTCATTCATAGGGTCGCTATAACTTGAAGGTATTTAACAACAACAACAACAACATATTACTTTAGCATGTCTCACCCTGCCATGTAAAGGAAGTAAAAAACTGACCTAGGAGAGCCATTTTGAGCAAACTCAC